TTTGTTGTTTGTTGTCGGTTGCTTGTTGTTTGTGGTTCGTCGTTCGTTTGTCGTTCGTCGTTCGCGTTCGTCGTCGTTCGTCGTCGTCGTCGTCGTCGTCGTCGTCGTCGTCGCCGGCGTCGTCGTCGTCGTCGTCGTCGTCGTCGTCGTCGTAGTAGTAGTAGTAGTAATAGTAGTAGCAGTAGTAGTAGTAGTAGTAGTAGTGGGAGCAGGAGTGGGAGTGGGAGTAGTAGTTGTTGTAATATTGGTAGCAGTCGTCGTAGTGGTAGCAGCAGCAGCAGCAGCAGGAGGAGGAGTAGTAGTAGTAGTTGTTGTTGTTGTTGTAGCAGAAATAGCAGTAGTAGCGGTGGTTGTGGTGGTGGTGGTGGTGGTAGCAGCCGTAGTAGCAGTTGTAGCCATAGCAGTAGTAGCAGCCCTCGCAGTAGCATCACTGCTCGACAAAGACAGCAAAATCACAAAAGTACAACGAAACAATATTCAAGAAGCATTACGAGGACCACCCGCCACACTACCTTTCACTGAAAATCATGCCAATAAGCATGTGAACCTTGTCTCTGGATCCACGGGCCCCGAAAGCTGGATTTATGTAACAAAACGATGTGACAGCGTTGATCACATTGGGGTGTGTGTATGGTTTCCATTTTGGTTGGACACATTACCCACTTCGTACAGTCCCCGGCCCTTTGGAGGACGGCTAGTCTGGTGCTGAATGCAAAAAAAAACGCATACCGCGCTACTCTTCTGCTCTCTTACGTAAATCAGCCGCCTGCTCAAGACAGCTCAGTGTGAAGCATGCTTGGAAAGCTCGTTCCCTAAGCTGGCCCTTGTCACTTTTTTGATGACGCTCTCTGACTGAGCTTTGCAATGCCATGTCTCTTGCCGTTCACAGCCTCTGTCTGAGGCTTGGGTACGCAGCACACAGACCATCTCCCAAGAAGCTGATGCTGATATGATGGTTTACATTCGCCCGACTTGCGTATATGCTCTAGAACTACTTGGTCACCGAGGCACAAGATGAAAGCTGTAACTATTCTTCCGCCCCATTGTGAGAGGGCAGCCAGTCTGACATATCCGTCTTTAAGTAGAGGGGTTTCCGGGTATGAGACTCCAAATTGTTCTGTTTTGGGAGAGCGAGGCACTCCAGGTCAAAAGATCTGCATATTAAACTGCCATGCACGGAATTCAGGGTCTTGAGCATGAACGGAGAGCGTAATGAACTTTGCTCTTGGGCAAATGGCATTTCTGTTTTGAAGAAATATTCCATAAGTGCAAGGAGGAATTGCGCAAAATCTGCTTCCAGTAGCCAGAACCCATTAGATAACACCGCACAATACACGTTTGAACTACACGGAAACGACAGCCTGCTTCCTGAAATGTTAAAAATTTGAAGGCTTGGGCCGACGAACTGCGCCCTGCAGTTCTTGCTTTTGGCAAGGCACCGGCATGTCAAACTCCCAGCCAAGCTCCTGAAACAGGGCCATATAACCTCAATGTGAACTGCATGTACAATAAACACTCATTCCAGAGATTCAGTCGTCCATTACTTGCTCTGAGTTGGGTTTTGGCCTCAAGCGTGCCTGGAGATTCAAGTTTGGGCAGACACCCGAGCCTCTACATAGAATAAAGACAAGGGGTCCAACAAGTACAGATTTTACCGAACCGCACTCGTGCTTCATGAAGTCAAACCTCGCATCAACTGTTGTAGGTACCGTCAGGGTTCTAGGAAAAGCCAACGACCTATCATCTTATTTACTGGGTTGCTGTCATGGAACTCAAATTGATTTACCATGTTGGGGTACATAGTCAATCATAGGGTTTCCTGCTTCAAGTAACTTACTTGAAGCTTCTGAGCAGCAATCCAATTTGCAGGCACGCAGATGTGCCGCAGGCTGTTGGTCAAATCGACACGTTGGCGTTCACGAGTTTGGGGAGAATAGATTAACGGTCAAGCTGTCTAGCAAATCGCAGTGAATTCTTGTACCAGTGTTACTCGCAGTATTGTTACCCGAAACACCTCGGTCATGATTATGGTTAGTTATATGTCACCAATGCCAATACTCGATTGCAATCCCCCTTATGCTCTATCTGTAGTGTGTGACCCACAGTCTACAACAACATCTACTCAGGATGTTTTTGGAGCTCTAGGCTTTCCACGCTGCCGTTGAAAGAATAGGAAGTTCTCAAAGTCGTCAGGTTACAATCCTGTCAAATAATGCGAAATCCTCTCTTTTCCCAACACATGTGAGTTCATTTTTGGTAACAAACTCCCGCGTCATTGTTCATGGTTGGGTTCTGCAGAGCTTGCTACAATCAGGGGTTCCATTTCGGGGCCGCTTTGAAGAGGATCCTCACATTCATTGGTATTCCAGAGGCCCCTGTTTTGGAGAAGTATCACTGTCTCTGTGGCGTGAGTAAGCTCAGCTGATGCCTTGTCAAACCAAGCTTGAAATAGGCATGCTTCCACATTCTTTCCTAGACCTCCTCATGGCTGCTCCACTTTGGACATTTCTTAGCTACTGGTCAACATTCTACAAACAATTGGGCACCAGACAGGAAAGACTAAAGGAGGTCCAGGTAAGACTTGAAGCCATTGTCCACGCGATGAACAGCTATTCGGTCTTTACGGTGCACAAACAACATAATGGCGTCCTTGTATAGATAAACGGCCTTGCGCCGAATCGGTGCTGGGACCACGAGTTTGGCACATATGCAACTGGCCTTCCATTCTGTGCCGTGCGGCGAGCAAAGGGCCCAGAACTTCCAAAACACACAATGTAAGACCATAAGATGGAATCTACTATAATATATTGGGGTTATATAGGGATAATGGAAAATAAAATGGAAACTACTAATAGTATATTCCTTGACTCCTCGTAACATGTCAGAAGTGTCCCTCATCCTTGAGGGCTTTGGAGAGCTTTCGTGACCCGTGAGGGCATTGTCAAGAACAACAAAACATGAGGCTCTAGCCTCAAGGGGCTAGAAAACCATAGATGGTATGGTGACGTTTTGTTGTACATGAACCCTCCGCACCCCTTTCTGCATACTCTGAACCGTTATAGTCCTGATTGCAAGAATCGGCCTGACCTTCCCGCAACCAGCTACCTCTTTTGCAGGTTGTGGATCCAGATCGCGTGTGTAAAGTGCTGAGGTGCCTAGAACTTAAGAATCTGCCGCACAAGTAGGGGGCTTCCGGAGATAAACGAGCAGCTGTTCTTCTTGGGGTTGCCGATGCATCTCCATAGCTACTGTAGCGGCCTGAAGACATAGTCTTTTCAGCAATTACCACCTATAGGCTTAGAGCAAGGAAAGGCCATGATGGTTTGTAGGCTTCTGCAAACCTCAAACGTCCCACAAACTGGCCACAAAGCACCCCATCCCAAAAATTGAAATCCGAGACCTTTGTAGAACCTTGTCTGACCTCTGCCCACACCGCTTTGTACCCATCCCGTTCTTGGCAAATCGACATAGGAGCAAAGTTACCTGCAGGATGGGATTCTGTTCTATCGAAATTTGGAGATAGAGTGGGTATGGGGTATGTAGGGGGATAACAGCAAAGAAAACGGAAGCTACGGTACTATTTAGGGTTTAGGGTGCAATGCTGAGGTTTAGGCTATCTTGGAAGTTCTTCTAGAGCCCAAGCACGAAAGAAAATCAGCTCTGCCCAAGTCTTGAGGCCGCCGAAGAAGTACATCGGACTGCGACCTGTGGGCCGCTGGATGACTTGAGAGCAACAAGCATCTCTAGGGAGACCTCCCCGTTTCCTTGTGGCTGTGTTTCCGGGATTTGGGAAGTGATCTCTTGTGATCTGTGCTGTTGCCCACAGACATTACACTCACTATGCAGCTGGCGTTTTGTGACGAATGATCAGGAGCATTGAGTCAGCCACTTGCGCATAACCATGCTGAGGTAAGCTTCCATTGACAATAGATGGCCCTGTTGATGAGAATAGAACGGTATGATACGCCGATCAGGGGGGAGAACGAGAAGATCCCGACAATTTCTGCGCTTCTCTTGCCATGTGGGTAGAGGGGCCCAGCATGATGACATCTCTCGGAGTCGCCATATGATGGACTTGCTGTCTTGGAAGAGCCGGGGCGCAGGGGATATAGAACCGTGTGGTTTTGGAAATTCCCCAGTGGCAAGCCGTGCTTTGATGGTCTGCATGACCGGGTCTTGAGATGCCCTGTCCAGCCTTCACGGGTCATTGGTATCAACACAGGTCCCCCTATGTATGTCCAAAATAGTTTGCGAAGTCTTGTTACTGAGTTTTCCAGGGTAACCAACGTGCATGATCTTACGACCTGGAAAATTCCCCATGAATCATGGACACTCACGCGTGTCATCTCAAGCAATTTGACCGTGTGCCTGGCTTGCCCCAAAGATTGTGGCACGAGGATCCTCAAAAGTGACACATCATGTTCAGGATACCTCAAGAGAGATCAAGCGTTGCAATGTAGGTTCGAAGCTCGTCTT